TCATACATTCAAAAACCATCTTATTTGGAAACTTGTACATGAAGATCAGTTTAGCTGAATTCAAACCCCTTTGTTTGCACTTCCTTTCTTTGAATATATTAAATGTTACTTGTCTTCTGATAAAAAAATAGATATTGAAATATCACTTGTAGGTGGTTGAATCTTTCTCCCCCATACCCAGAGGATTTTCTTTATTACTTTAATATTTTAACTACAGTATGTTATGACATTGGATTTATTTTAACATGTGAAAGTTTATAATATGTAATTTCAACTCTTTCTGTTTTTGTCATTTTAGGAAAAACTTTTAAATTCTTGTTTTTAGTTTGTTTTGTTCTATTGCTTGGGTATCTTATTTGGGCAAAGCTATTATAACTGTGTTGTATCTTCCTTTTCTTTCATACTTATTATTTTTCTTAAGCTTAAAAAAAAATCTCTTTCTTTTCCTTATTTATTTACAACTTTTCTAACTTTATCTGTTTGCATCTTATAGTTCTCGGAAAGCATTCTTTGTTGCTTTTTTGTTTTTTCCAGTTTAATCTTCATTTTTTTGTAAAATCTTTTTGTGTGACATCCCCTTTCAAATCTTTGTTTTTTAGAAACATACCATTAGAACTTTTCTAAGTTTGATTTATGATGCTTGTTCATAGCTCTAATATTTTTCTTAATTTTTTAGAGTATTCTGAAACATTAAGTTGCTGGTTTGGAGTGTTTTCTGGGCATTTCGTCTGTCTTGCCTCTAGTGATGCCATTCTAGTCCTTATTCTGCTTTTGCTCATATTAAATTTATACAGGATTGGGCCACAGTCCTCTCTTATTGCCTACTTTTAAGTCAAATAAGTTTTCTTTGCTCTTTGCCATAAAAGGCAAAGAGGGTTGGGACAGAACTACTTTTCTAGCTCTATGTCTCTTGGCATTTCCTCTTCTATTGTTCTTATGAATTGGTTTTTAACAAGGTATTTTATTTTTGAGCTCTGCTTCCTCCCCCTGCTCAATTTTATGCAGAGTTTGTTTCTCTTTTCCCCTGTTGTCCCTCATCTGCTCATTTGGATTCCATTCTCAACAATCTCTCCACACTGAGGGGCTTTGCTCCTTGATTTAGGGCCCACAGGAAACATTTCCTTCCTCATTCTACTCTTCCCCTCTTAGTAGTATGATTTCCACTGTGGACTTGTTAGAGAGCTGAGGAATCTCTTCTTAAGAGTCCCATGACTTTCCTTCAAAACTCCTTCTTTCACAGAAATGGACATTAAGTAGGTCTCAAGGTGAGTGATTTCGTTCCTTCATCTTCTTACCCAGTCTTATCAGGATGTCTCTCTGTGTTGTTGTTTTTGGTTTTGTTGTCTTCAGGTCTTTTATTCTGAATTTATGTGGCACCATAGGAATTAGAAAAACTACACCATCATGAGTTTCCAGCTTCTACCTTCAGATTTTTATTGATACAATATTTTTAAAACCAGCAGCTCCTCCTGCCTGCTTGCTTACTCAGGGTTGGGCTGCTTTAATTGATGGTTCTTCATAAAGAGGTAAAGTCAGGATGAAGTGAGTCTGGATAGAAACAGCTCACTGAAGTAGATTTTGAAAGAACTAGAACAAAAAGATGCAAACACTTTAGGGTGGTAGATAGTTCTAATGGGTAGAAATACTGAAGGTCCTTGGATTTTGTTGCATTATTTCCAGGTAGCTAGAAGAAGTCAGACACTCAGGTAGCAGTAAGTGAGATTAAGTAGGTGTTAATTTCCAGAGCATTCTGCACATTCGTTGAACTATTTGCAACATCATATACCTGCCTTGGCTTTTGGATAGTTTGGAAGAGTTTTTACAATGCCTGCATAGGTCTGACAACAGAAGTTGACTCCTGATCTATAGTTGGATACAGGAAAAACTTATGAACTAAATGAAAGAAAGATAAAGAATATATTTGGAATCTTTTATTTGAGGATTATTGCAGCCTTTTCATGGGAGGAATAGGTGAATTTATTCACTGGTTCTCCGATAACTCTGGTACAGAAATGACCTTTAAACATTGTTCTCCAGAAAAATTACTTTGTAATCATCTCCAAGTCCAGCTCTTCATCTTTCTTACCAAAGCAAGTATGCATTACTATTCTTAGATACTTGGACCTATTCCAGTATTATAGACTACTAATAACTATATTAGATTACTGATTATTTTTAAACCCATTACTAATATTTAACAGGAACTCTTGTCAAAGAATAATACCATGATGGGTCACAATTACCATTTCCCACATATATGGATTTAGAGGCATTACTGAGACTGGGTTCCTTAGAGGCATTCTAGCAGTAAATGGCCACTGAAGCAGAAAATCAGATGACCATGCCCTATTTATAAGTAAGTGACAGATACTGTATAAATTAAAATTAGCAGTCTTAAGCTGTGTTTATACTTGGCTTAAGAGAATAAAGAGTGTTGGAGTGTAACAAATATAACTTTTGTTTGGACCTTCCTTCTGTGGCCTTCTTAAATGAATAACCCTCCTAAATTATGTTGACATGTAAGAGGAAAATTAGGAAATTCAGTGATTTTCAAACTAGTACTTAGAAGATCCTAACTGCATTTTACCCTTTGATTCTAGAAAGGTTCCCACTTTACATATCCCTGGTCCAATTCTACCTAGCACTTGAGGAGTGAAAAAAATATATTCAAGATTATGAAACAAAATGTAGTTATCAAACCGAGTAATTTTATTATATGCTAAGATCATTATTTTTACAGTTTGAAATATGAAATGCAAATTGACCAGATTTAACAATATCAGTTTCTTATTAATGAAAAAAATACAACTTTAGTATTGAAGAACAAGGCTAACACAATTTTAGCTGTAACATGTAAACAGTGGTAATTTTCTAGAAGATTTTTGATTTATAACATATACAAACCTGCACATATATTCTCAACACTAATAACCAAAATGCATTTTATGGATTTCAGGATGAACAACAATAAAAAAAATGAAATTTGATCTTATTCCAACACAGATTTCTTGATAATTTAAAGACTAAGTGGTCAAGAGTACATATATTAAAAAATGATTTCATGAACAGTTTCAGTGAAATTAGATATTCCCACTGCTTTCATACATTTAGCACTGTCTTGAATTAATTAAAGGTACTATGATTCCAAGTAACTATTAATTTACTGAGTAAATTGAACAAATCAAATTAAATAAATGGACAAATTAAGTTAGTAACAGAACAACTTGCTGATTGCTCCATCACTCCATTTTTGGTTGCTGCTTCTTTTTCCTTTGATCTACAGTAATTTTATTTTTGTATCATGGACTCTTGTGGTTTATTGTTTCCATCTTTCATTAACTAGGTACTTTTTTAAAAATGTAGAAATGACCTTATCTCGTTGGCAAATAGCACTTATTATTTGTTCTTTTTCAGGGCCCCAGTGGAATTCTGACAGCCACATTCAGACTCTATTAGCTGAGTTCAAATTTAGCCATAAGTCCCATACAGAGGGAAGGTATGTGGGGATAAGTGCATGGAGTACTGCATATGTCGCATTTGTGAAGGGCACCTGAGTGGTAAACCAGCCGCCTCCTGCTAGGCCGGTGAGCTGCAAACCACTTACTCATAGGCACAGCCCTGGGCATGAGGCCACATGTTATAGTCCCTGCATTTGCTCCAGGGCCCACTCCTCGACTGGTCGCTGCAAGGACAGCTGGCAAGAAATTGTATTGGTAGATGCCTATAATCTGCTTAGCTACTGCCTTAGTATGTAGACATGGTAACTGCTTCCGGCTTGGTCTCTGGAGGTCTTGATTAGCTACTCCACAGCCACACTCTCCTCTACCCTGTTCTGTGGACCTCCTTGCTGGATAAGAGAGGGCCCACGCAGCAGTGAGACAGTTAATATCATTAACATTCACCCAGAAGCTAAATGGTAATAGGAAAAATTTAAATAATTAATTTAGGTAGATATATAACATAGTTCCCTTGTTAAGTTTAGAAATTGGCAAACTGCTGTATGGAAGTGTCTTTTGTATGGAAATGTTCCTTCCCCCCCCCCCCAAATGTTTTAATATGTACTCTGTCTATAAATCCATCTAGTAGAGGCTAAATTGCATCTCCCACCTCCCAAACTTATATGTGAAGCACTAACTCCCAGTACTGCAGAATGTAACCATATTTGAACATAAACTTTATAAGAAGTAATTAAGTTAAAATGAAGTTCCCTTCACTACCAGATGGGCTCTCAGTATGCTGCCCAGGCTGGTCTCCAACTCCTGAACTTAAGAGATCCCATCACCTCAGCCTCCCAAGCCCTGGGACCACAAGTGTGCACCATTAAACCTGGAAAAATCCATTGTGACTGGTGTCCTTATAAGAAGAAGAAATTTAGACCCAGACTGAGGGACGACCATGTGAGAATGTAGTGAGGAGGCAGCAACCTAAACCAAGGAGAGAGTCCACAGAGGAAAGCTGCTAATCTTATTGTGGACTGCTAACCTGTGTCATGGTGGGAAAATAAAATTCTGTTGTTTAAACCACTAAGTCAGTGGTGGTAGTACTTTGTCATGGAAGCTGTAGAAATTGAACAGAGCATTCTTAGAGCAAATGACCTCCTTAGATTCTTTGCTAAGTGATCATTTAGTTCTCTGAGGTCACCACACTCAATACATGTATTTATTTATCATATTATTTTATTTATTTGCAGCCCATTACCAAGTCACTTTTCTTAGTTTCTTCAGAAGAACCAGCTTTGGTTCCTGGGGTGAGGATCAAAGACACCTCAGTATCTTCTGATGGCTCCCTTCCCTCCTGTGCGTTTTACACGTGTCCATACCAGGTTTCTTTTGCCATAAATGAGGACTTACCATGTTGCAAGCTACTCTTTGCTCAGTAGTATTTTAACATTGGATTGTGTATGTATCATTTTAAAGGTATGAGATATAGGTTACAAATAAGAAATAACACAGGTAAACTATTTAACAATCCTGGCAGTATAATAGTAAACATTCAAGATATTTGGTTATTGCCATTATTTTTATTATTGCTATGTATTACAAACCAGCTACTTATAAAATTCCTTAGGTTGAATGAAGTTTCATATCTTGATTTTTTCACATCCCACACTGTTTTGAGTTTAGGTATTATAACTCCTATTGCTACAGTATCAAAAAGTAAAATCCATTATAAATAATCTTCCAAAGATAAATTAAACACATTTTATATTTTCTGTTACCAAGCCCAGTTATGCTTTCACACAGATTTTTCAGTCACCATTTGAGACTCTATTTTCTTATTTTTTTAAAATAGTTTTTCCATCTGTACAACAATTTATTTTATTTGTGGTGTGAGTATAGTTTTTTCCATATTCATTAGTCATGGATTCAGATAGCCGGTCAATAACAATCATTGTACCATGATTGGATTAGCTACCCTAAGTCTTCCTATTTTTAAATATTTTTAGATATTCCTCACTTCAAATGAGCCCAATCATTTCTGACTGAATTAAATTGCCAAATTTTGAATAGTTTCCCCTTTTGAGTAATGTTTGTTTTGAAAATATTTGTAATAACAACAACAGGGTAAAAATCAATCAATCCATCCTGTTGTTGGCAGGTTGAGGGTTTAGAGTATCATACTCAACTCACTGTGGTTTCCAAATCTGAGCAGTTAATCATTGATTAAAACCAACTAATCAACCAACATGATCCCCCTCCCCAAATAACAACAGTAACAAAAATAGGCATTTAAAACTTAAAATTTAAAAAGAACATTTAAAAAAAAGTTAATGTTGCTGTATCCCTTGCCTCTAAGGTCTTATTAAAGACTATGGCTTTCAGCATTTTTGTGTGAATTCTAAAAAATTCCAGGAGATCTCATCTTGTAACTGAAACTTAAGAAATAAACATACTTCCTTTTCATGTCCAAGTGTTATTCGGTACTTGAGTATTATTTCCAAAGGTGAACCTGCCAGAACTCAACAGGGAAAATAAATGGATCACAGAGAAAGAGATACAATACATAGAACCCATAGAAATCATGTCTCATTAAAGGAAGGTTTTGGTGTTGAATGCAGTCACTTACATGCACAAGAATCATGAAAAGTTCATCAACGTCTGTTTCAGTTTATATATTTTACATTTTTGTTAATTCGATTCAGGCTATAGATGAAAGATCTTTTCCAATAAGTTTCTTTCATTTGGGTTTCAGGTAAAGTAATGGGAAAATGACTAATTTTTCAAGGTTCAAAAATAATTTACTGAGCAATTATTATGTTTCTGATTAATTTACTATGAAATCCCATGAACCATTTCACTTTTTAATGTTTGTGTCAAGCACACTTGGTGACCCAAATATAAGCAATGAGAATTTTTCTCTTCAGCTGGTCCTGTTGTCCATAAGATAGGCAGGAGACAGTTAACAGGAACTAAGACAGGGAGCAAATATGAGATGTAATTTTTCATATCTGATATGGAAATTATTTCCACCAAGAAATACAAAAGATTTATAAGGTAACAGTAATAGTGTGCCTCTATTAAAATAAAAAAATGCAATTAAAAGCAACACAGGCTACTGGTTCTCTTTAGGCAGGAGGAGAAACACAGAACTCCTATGAGATAAGATCCGCAATGTGAATACTACTAGACTATGAGACCAGGCAGTTTTGGTTTGCTACAGATAGGGGGAACTCACATAACCTTATTTTCCAGATCCTTTGCTATCAAGATCCATCCATATGATCTATCCACATCATGGAGGATTCTGTGTGTGCAAATTGATTTGGGGTCCTATAGAACTTATCAGATAGTAGTTTCTCTTCCTAAGTTTGCCCCAGTATAACACTTCTGTTCTTACTGACCTAAGTGACCATCCATGGGTCATTTCTTTGGTTTGATCTCCAAAGTAGAAGCATTGTTTCTATGTACACTATCAAAATATACATATAAATTCTGAAATATGCTTCTGGGAACATCTTTAATCTTTTCATTTCCATAGTCTCAAGAATTTGAGCTACTTGGAAAGTTGCAATTATCAAGAAAAGATTGAACTCAGTGTCAAAATTCAGTATTGGATGAGAATAGAGGAAGGATCTGAACAACAAGTTCTGAGAGATCCTAGAGGCAAATATCAGTGAGTTAAGGCCTTGACCAGGAGCTTATGCCTGGCCAGAACTAAGGCCTCCACCCCACACCTGCATCTCAGAACCCCAAGCTTAATAAAATGTGAAGTGAATGCATGAACAACTGCTAAATAGACCATTGTAGGAAGTACTGATTCAGGGAGAGAGATGGTAGGAAGAAAAATAGTAAGAAGTAGTAAACAAGATTAAAATGACAAAATGTGCATTTAACTTACCTTTGGAGTTGGTTATTCAGAAGGAAACCAGGCTTTTGAAACACCCACCGAGAAGTTGTGGCTTTTCTTTGGAACCAGATTGACCCCACAGAGAAACAGAAAGAAGAGGAAATGTTCAGTCAAAGATCAAATATCCACGCAGCAGTTTCCTTCTGCCCAGGATAATGCTGTTTTTACTTGTATACATCTTGTTTTTATATATTTACTCTCTCTGTTATTACCAATGACATAAAATTTAATTTTTCTCCAAATAAAATATAAAACTTGTGTCTTCCTACTCAGGGGAACACACAAGGGTGGGAGGAATGCATGGGATTATGACAGTAATCTAAAGGATTAGGTTTATTTGCAGTTAGTTGATTTTGTGTATGCATATCTACTTGTCTACATGGGTTATGTGTGTTTGTGTCTGTCTGTCAAATAATTTTACAGAAAGCATTTGGGTCATGAACAAAATTAGTCATTACCTCTTTTTTAGTCTAAGGTGTAGTTGTATATGTTTTAACAATTGGTTCCATATGTGTAGTTTTGTTTCATATGGGAGAATATTTGAGCAACTACATTTCATGCAAACTTTGATTTTAACTGTATTTGTAAAAGTTGGCTTTGGAAGCTTGTAGGGTGTTACATAGGTGTCTTGAGAAAATCTTTTTATACTGAGAAGTTCTTAAGTCAATGCTGTACTTGATATTAATTTTTGTTTAGCAGTATATACAAGAAGTTAGTCCTGTGTGTACCTGGAATATTATTTTGGTTGGAGGTAAAGAAAGAGGGAAATGACAGAAATAGACAAAGTATCTTCAAACTTTCTCTTCATTCATTTGAATTTTTCTTCAACAAGTTTTAATCCCTGTTTAGTTGTGTACTTAAAACAAAACAAAACAAAACAAAAACCTCACAACTTGCTGTAAATGAACAATTGATTACAGGGTTTGGTGGCAGGTCAGGAAGAGAAACTTGTATAATCGGAGCTGTCTGGGACAGATCAACACTAAAAAGCTCACTTTAGGTTTTTAGCAGTGTTTGGTGAAAAATAAAGGAGTCACTTACCTTTTCACTGAGTGACTTGTTAAATTCGTGTTCCTAAATATGCTGGTGTTTGCCAGAATCAGTTGTCAAAGTTAGGTCTGAAAATTCTAAAGGGAAAGTTGTTAGAATCCTGTCCTCCCTGCTAGCCATCACTAACACCAAGTGGTGGCTCAATCCCTCGATTTTTTCTGCTCCAGGACATTCTGCGAAGGAGAAATGCAACAACTTTTGAACAACCCCCTGCATCACTTTGGAAACCTTGACAATTGCTAATCAAAGCTCACCAGCAGTTTCCAGGACAGCTAGTCTCAAAGCGTTCCCCCGCCGGTCTCGCCGCTGCCACTGGCGCCCCCAAGCGCCTGGCGCCTGCGTTTACTACCTTCCACCTTGGAAGAAGGGAACTGCAACTGGGGAGCCTTAAGGATGGACCGCAAAGACTTCCCTTAGAATTTCCCAGGGGGCAGGAGATAGAAAACAGAGGAAGTCAGAACCCCAGAGTCCCCACCGCGTCCATTCCTGCCTGGGATTTCCTCTTTGCAAAGAAGGCAGTTGCCATGAACTGTGAAGATGCCCTTTCAAGCTTCGAGGTCCAATCTCTTGACATCTCAGTCCCTCAGATACACAGATACACTAAGTGTGGCGGGGTTAGGCATGGATAAGGAGGAAACTGAAAAGACCAAACCCTTTCGAGCAGGAGAGTTATCTTTCCCCTTCTGGTTCTCTCCTTCCCCATCCCCAAATCTCCCTCTGGATCCCTCCGGCACCTGCTAGCGCACCTATATGGCGCCAGCCCTACGCACTCTTTGGGAGGGACAGGTTAAAATCAAATTTGAGCGCACACAGAACACAATATTAACGTCCATAAGTTTGCTTCTTTAAAGTCTCTATACTGCTTTTCTAGCGCTCCTCGCCTAGTCAGAGACTGAGGATGTGCGGGAGTATATTAAGGAAGGAAAGTGGCGGTCATGACACGTGGGGACAGCTTGCCCCTCTCCTTTAACACATTTGCCCTCCGCCTGTTTCCAAAGGCCCATCTACTCCTTGGAGCTGTGGTCAGTAATTGGGAGCCTCATGTTCTTCTAGGGGTAAATCTCATTCCCCCCCGCCCCCCAACTGTGGAAGAGGAATGGGAGGTTGAGCAGCGGGAGAAAAAAGTAGAGGAAGCCCCGAAAGGAGCTGCAGCAGCAGGGTGTAAAGAGGGCGGGGAGCGGGCGGGGGTGAGAGAAACGTTTTCACTCTTTGTCACTCTTGAATTGGGGGCGGAGGAAAAGCCCACTGTGGAAAGCTATAAAAAGCAAAGAGGGCGGGGGGAGAGGAGAGGAGAGGAGAGAAAAGGAGAGAGGAAGGGAGAGTGAGAGAGAGAGAGAGAGAGAGAGAGGGAGGGAGAGAGAGAGAGCGCACGAGTGCCAGAATACTAGTCCGCCCGGAGCGCAAGTGGGCTCCCAGGGCATCGCAGTGTCGCTGCTCACAGGGGTGGTTACCCTGTGTGAACCAGAAGCAAGCGCCTCAGAGTGACTGTGAGATCGCGCGTGGGGGACATCAGCTCCTCTCGGATCTCCAGGGTCCGGTCTGGAGGCGATTCTGATTCCCCGTTATACAGCCTGATAACCTGCAAAGTTTGAGACATTAAGAATAGGAAAAAAGAGAAGAGAAACCCAACCGAGACCAAAGGCGAAGAAACTGTTGCAGACCTGCTGATCAGTTAAGAGAAGGACTGAACCGCGGAGATTTCGCAGTGAACTCTGAGGTGCAAAGCACGGACCAACCCCAGCGGTGCTGGGTCTTCTAGCACCTTGGGTCACGCCTCCTTGGCGAGAAGGCGCCTGGCCTTTGATTGCTTGCAGTTACTGCAGAAACTTCCTGCCCTGGTGGAGAAGCGGGTGCTCGCTCCAGGCTTAAGGCGTGAGACTGAGTTCATTGGGTTTTTGGTCCCCGAACCAGGAAGGGTTGAGGGAACAGTGTCTGCGAGCCCTCTGCGCCCCACGTGACGGGTCCGGTGTTGGGCTCCTTCTTACCCCTTCATTCGCATCCCTCCGGGCTTTGCGCCTCCCCGGAACACCTCGCCGGGAGATGGCCGCGTTGATGCGGGGCAAGGATTCGTCCCGCTGTCTACTCCTACTGGCCGCGGTGCTGATGGTGGAGAGCTCACAGCTCAGCAGCTCGCGGACCAAACTCAACTCTATCAAGTCCTCTCTGGGCGGGGAGACGCCTGCCCAGGCCGCCAATCGATCTGCGGGCATATACCAAGGACTGGCTTTCGGCGGCAGTAAGAAGGGCAAAAACCTGGGGCAGGTAGGAAAATGCAAACACACTCTTGAGCCAGGGGAGATAGGGACCAACGCTTTTGCGTGCGCTCCCTTTCCCTTTAAGCCTGTTAATAATCGGAGCGCGACTTCAGGTGTGGCGCGCCCACCGCAGGGGAGGGTGTCCCCAAAGTTGAGTCTGCACTGGCGCGGGTGTCTGGATGTTTGTTGCTTGCATGGAGCGGGAGGGTTACGGTTCTGCCTCACATTTGCTTCGGGATGTGGGCACCTATTAAGACCTCGTGCGTTCCAAGAGGATGCAGCTGATGAAGATATTATCTGTCTCATAGCAACTATTACTTGCTAGGCACTATTTTAGGCGCTTTACATGTTCAGGAGTTCAGTGTTCACAACTCAATACGACAGGCTCTGTTGCTTTTCTATTCCACAATGGAGTAATTGAGTCACTGAGAGATTAGTGATTTGCCCCAGGCGCACAGCTGGTGTAAGTGGCAGAGCAGAATTTCAGATTGGGCAGAGTCCAGATCCTGGGCCCCCATTACATGTTACAGTTTTAAGAGGGATTTACCTCTTTTCAGGCTCTCCTCTCCCAACCACTTTCTTCCTTCAAAGAAGTAAAGTCACTGGTAGAAAACAGCTCCATTGATGCACTTTTCTCACTCCCGTAGAATTGTAAATAAATCAACCATGAAGAAGCAAAATGATGAGGTGCAATGACAGCGTCCTAGGCGCCGGCGATAGAACAAGGACACCAGAGACGTTTTTGTGAGAGGGAACGTCCTGTGGGCCATTACGTCTCTGTGTCACACAGACAATTACATTGACAAACAGTTGCACAAATAGATACCTACAGAGCCGCAAGCGCGCACTGTGGGCACCAACTATGGCCGGCGCACAGCGGCCAGGAGAGGGGGCTCTGTGGGTACTGAGCACCACAACAGCTCCGCCTTCTGCTCCTTTTGTGGCAGGCCAAAACCAAAAGCCAGTTTTGGCAAACAGCACACGCACCTCGCACAGCACGTGTCAGCCCCAGTGGCGACCCATGCCCGGTAGATCTTTGTTTTCTTGCTTCCTCAGAGGCGTCTGCAGATGTGGTTCCCAGTGCAGAAAGTCCCCCGTCGCCTCTGCTTACAGACCAGGCGGCAGGGTGAAGGATGACAGCCAGCCTGGTGCTGTTTGGTCAGCCAGGGAAACTCAAATCGTAGCTTGGCCCCCTACTGCCCTCTCACGGGGACAGTTTTGCTAGTTTTGCAGTTTGAGAATGTTTCCCAGGTTTGAAAATGTCAAACATTTCGGCTATTTTCTCAAAGGATTGCAAGGTCTGTAATCACAGTCTTTCTCTCTTCCTTCCTTCCTTCCCTCCCTCCCTGCCTTCCACCTTCCTTCCTTCCTTCCTTCCTTCCTTTCTCTCTTATTTCGTTTAGAGACTTAAAGAAAATAAGCTATGCACTATGTACTTATGCACTTACTAGGAAACCTTGGCCTTGGCGTATACTTATGAAACCTTTGCGCATCCTAACACACATTCACCTGCCTTAGCTCTTGTATGACAGCGCTCATACCCTTTTCCTCTTCCTGGGAAACACCCTGACACTTTCAACAGCAATGAACCTAATGGACTCTTGGAAGTCCATCATGAAATGGAATAAGGGTTAGAAAGAATGTATACTCTTAATCTAAACCAGAGGACTTTTAATTTTTTTTTTAAACGCTACTGACTTCTAACTCCACATTATCAATTTAACCTAGCGGTATGTATAGTCCTACAAAGAGATAGGGACCCGATTATCTTTTGAGGTTGCTTTCAATTCTACTCCATGTATATTCCGGGAGTTCATATGAAGCTCATTTTGTTTCTGTCATGCAGTTGGACCCCCATACCTGATGTTCCTCTATCAAATGATGAGTTATGTTAGCATTGTCACTAGCCATGGCCTTATAGAGTAGACTGAAGAACACATCTCAGAATGCCGCATCCTCTTTTACGTTTTGTAGTATACCTGCTTGTAAATAGTTACACACTATGTATAATTATTTTGGTATTCCTCTAAGGATTTACTCAATGATGTTGCTTAGAGTTTAATCTAAAGCAGAGGGCTTCTGATTTCTAACTCTACTTGCTCTCCTCAAATGGAAGTTTTATTTATTTATTTCACAAATGAGTTGAATTTCTCATATGTCCTCCATAAGTTGGCAGTTCTATGAAATAGGTTTCATTATATGTACTTATGTAGCAGGTCCTTAAAAGTTGACATTATGTTTTTGAGAAGATTGTAACACATTGCAGTTAACAGTAAAGCAAAACAAAATGTTGGATCCAATAGAAGGAGGATAGATGGACTACATTTTGTGTACTCCACCTCCCCACCTTGTCTAGCAGATGGTCTAAAACATATACTATTGTGAAGAACCAAATAGATTTTCTCTTTGGAGCAGAAAGAGGAATTATTTGTATACTGGTTAGTCTTGCTATCTTTTTTTATTCCACCCAGTTATGTAGTCACCCAAATTCTTAGTATTCTTGTTTTCAAAAACAGCATGTAAGTGATAAACACACTGAAAGAGGGAAGAAGGCACTTCCATTTATAGGGAAATCTCTTGACTTGAAATTAAAGTGCTCTGAATTTTTATCTTTCATAACAACAAAATATGGTAGAGAAGATTGGAAGCCAAGTGTCAAATAATCAAAGTATCTAATTATATGCTGTCATCCTGAGGCCTAATGAGTTTGATTTTCCCAACCTCTTTGTCCATGATTGATGATGTTGAAATATATGCCATTCAGAGATACAGGAATAAGAAACTTTAGGATGCAACTTCAAGTTGGCAGGTTAAAAGATTTGCCTTTCATCATTTTTGTCTTAAATGGAAATTTAACAAATATTTAATTTAATTTTTCAGGATAGAAAATTAAAATAAAAATTTTACTGCCATTGCTGAAGAATTTTTTTGAAGAAATTTTAAAATTCCCTAATCTAAAATGTAAAAATGAGAATAAATGGTATCCACAATTCATTTGATTCACTCTAGACTGATTTCGTATGAAGAGAAACATTCTTTTTTATAGAGTTTCTGTTTATTCTATGGTCATGGTGGATTAATTGTAAATTACTCCTAGAAAATGTGTCCTTAAATTTTAAGAAAGATTTATAGGGCCCAGAGATAAGACATATTGTTCTCCAAAGGCATTAAAATTCTCATTCTTAGATTTTCTTTTACAGACACAGTTTTGAGTTACAACAGAAACCGACATAGAAAATTGAGAGTGGTAGCATTCAAATGGTTGACACAGAATTAGCAAAAAATATTTTATTGCATAATTTACATTAATTTTTAATTTGATTTTTCATTTGCAGCTACTGCTAATGGGTTTTTAAAGGTAGTGTATGTAGGTGTATATATATCTTGGGATAAATTAAATAGCAGGACTATTGCATATATATGTGTGTGTGTGTGTGTGTGTGTGTGTGTGTGTGTGTATATATACATATATATATATTTCAACACCTAGAGAAAGTATTTCAAATGTTCAAAATCAAAACTAGTTTTAAACAAAATTTTCAACATCACATGGATAAATATATTTGATTAAGTATACCGTTGTTTAACATCACCTCTGGAGTTTGAGGTGTTGAATTTTTAAGCAACCTTTGAAACTAATTATTAAAAATGTCCAAGCAATGAAAAAAAATCATTTTGCTTTTATAATTCACACTTTTTATGTGACTGTAAAACTTTCTAGAGTTGTTTTTCTAATAACTTCTTATTCTTTACTCATTGCTTCGTTTTATTGAGACTAGTAGCTGAATTTAATTTGAATACAATGTAGTATTTTGAAATTATTTTAAAAGCGATGAGTAGAACAATGACAAAACAACTTTATTTTAAATGTAGGCAAATATCTTGGCATGTATCTTTAAAGAGAATCTGAAACTGTTTAAAGTAAATTCAGATTTCATGATTTTCTAATATAACTTGGACACTTGAAGAACAATGGATTAGAAGGAGTTATGTGTTAGAATAAATTCTTAAAATATATTGAAACAGAACTTGAGGGAGTTATTAGAAATAATTGTTATTTGTAGATTGCATCTTTAAGATAAAATGCTATTGAAATACCCTAAGCAGTCTAATTTGGTAAGTGATCTCTTCACTTTCTGAAATTATTTGTGACATTTTTTTTTTAAGCCACAGTCAATTTTCCCCTGCTAAAGAGAAAATAATCTGCTTATTCTTTCTGGATATCCACTGACATTAAAAACAAACATTTTTAAGGTTAAAATTTTCAAAAGAACTTGAAATATTTTGTAACAATCTACATTATGATTCCTTTTCTTTCATTCTAAATCATGGAGATTGATAGTCGATACAAGTGGAAGGTTACCTCACAAATAGAAAGAAAGGAATTTTAATCATAATCTAAGTATCCATTAATTTATTTTTGTGCTAGACTCAAGAGAGCAAGAGGACAAGGTGCATTAACTCACTCCAGCTGTGACGCTGATTTACTGTAGTCTTCTTTAGTTTTCATTCTGAACAAACTTCTGCCCCCTGTCCTCATTCCCAGAATGTTTCAAATCTATAGTTTTATAAAGATAAGGCAATAACATGAAGGGTAACAGGTTCATTCTATTTAAGGGGAATAGTGGTACTTACTCTTCTTTTTTCTCCATAATCAATTTAAATGTATAATAAAGTCATTTGTGAAGTTTTAGAAGAAATACCCTTAATATATTTACTTTTTTTAGTCACGGCTACACGTTTTTTTGATATTGAAGCAACATCAAAATGAATTACTGTCTTATTTCTGCTTGTTACTCCCTGACAATCTGTTAAAGTTGTTTTAGTTCATTATATTTCTAGTTGCTCATCTATTAAAAAAAAGATAAACTGCTTGTAGCTATTTATCTAATTATTGAAAAGATTTCTATGACATTTGTATCTGTGTGAGCCTTGTACTGTCATTTTTAAAATCTGAAGCAAAAGCCAAAAATAAGATTAATAATAATTAGTGGATAGATATTTGCA